TATATATATATTCTGAAGAAAAAAGCAGTGAAAGTCAAGAGAATCCACATGTGACGAGTGAGAACAAAGCTGCAGGAGAGGAGGTGGGTGAGTTTAATGCTGTTAAATCAAGTAATGTTTTAAAGTTTTTTTTATTTGTGCAAACAAAAAAAGTGTTCATTTTATTGTAGTGTTATACTCGCCAATCTTACAAACACTTTTAAAAAATCAGGTAAATTAAGGACACCCAAAAAAAAAAAAAAAAGATGTACTTGTTAACCACCGGTGCTGCTGAGATGAGTTCACCATGTCCCACATATTTGCATCACAGCAACACTCAATTTGCATCTCATATGGAGATAAGTTTAACCAAAATAATAAAGGCCAAATGAGATGGTTTATGAGATAAAAGCAACCAAAACAATCTAAAGAGGAAATACTGAAGAGGAAACAGCAGCCAAGACAAACATTACAGTGTTMATGTGGGAGTTTGATTTGGCTGGAAGTTTAAATGAATTTCTCAGAGGAAGTTGTAACCAGAAGGCTCACTCTTTCTCCACTTTGACAATCTGGATCAATGGCTCACGTGCAGGAAATACTCATAATTTCCTGCAACTTGAAAGAAATGAACATTGATTACTCAACACTAACAAGTGGTTTGTTTTAATAAGTTTTAAATCTTCAAAATCAATGTGATTTTAAACTTTAAAAATCGCAAGTTTATTCTTYCACCAGCTGAGCCAAATGTCTAAAAATGACTAAACACTGGAAACGACTTTACTAATACACACTGATAATAGACGTTTCATGTTCAGGGGTGGGCAATCCTGGTCCTCGAGGGTCGCAGCCCTGCAGGTTTTATGTTTTTCCCTGCTCCAACACACCTGATTCAGACGTTGAATTGCCAAGTTCTGCAGTATGGAGGACCGACACTGATATAACTAGAAGAAAAAAAAAGCAAAAATATATAAATGGACCAATAAATAAATTCAATTAAAAATGAAATAAAATAAAATGAAATAATTTTTTTTCTTTTTGATTTTTTACCTGGATTACTGAGATGCATCAGGRCATGCTGTTTTAATTTTTTTCCTTACCATGCAACATGTTTTTCTTTTAGACTAGTATCAAAATTCAATCCATTATCTATAAGTTGAGATTTGAACACAACACTGACAAACATTTAGATAAAAAGAAGCAAAATTAAATAAGTTTAAATTATTTCCCCTTACACAAGTAGAATCTTATAAAATTGTTATAAAAACCTAAATAACTGTTGTGTGAATGGCTTCATAACAATTAATATTATAGTCTTGTCTTGAGTAGAAGTAGGATGACCTGGTTTTTGTGTGTATCGTTCCTGTACAGTAATTTTTATTTATTTCATTACAGCCAGCAGAGTTGTGTGTGGTAAAGACACACCTGCTGTGTTACTACCTATTGTTTATTTGAAGACTCGTTGAGATGTTGAACATTTTTATATTGATGGAAGTGTTTCACATGGCATGTGCAAACATTATAAACTGTACCTTTTTCCCCCTTTTGTTAAAGGAACAAATACTGACTCAAACATCATGAGTGTTTTCAGTGTAAACTCCTTCGAGGACCTGATCAGTCGTTGATCTTCTGATCATGTTGGCTTTTTTGATATTTCAGCTTTCTGTCACAATAAAACAAACACTACGATCTAATCACATATTCCTAAAATAATGTGAGCTAAACTTTCATTTTATGTCTCATTGAGTTTTGCTCAACGATGTTTTCCTTCCCCMCTCTTCAAGCTTTTGTAAAAACATCTTTGCAGACAAATAAACTTCTCATCTTAACTGCTGCCTCTGACTTGATCTTTAAATTCTCTAATGAACAGCTGTTACAAGAATTTACAGAATCCTGAAATAATGAATGAATGAATGAATAAAATTAGTCCAAAATGATGAACTTGTTCTTTGACTAAATCTACTGTTGGAGGTGATGCAATGAAGGTATTTTGCAGGTGGCTTTTACAACAAATTTACCTTCATACTACATTGATGCAGCTTTAATTTTCACAATTTCTTTTTTGTTCACATCTAGTGACATGTTTTAATGAGGTAACTGTTAACTTCACGACTAACCAATTTTGGGGGTATTGGGTGGTGCAGGATGTAAACGGCAGTGAGACGTGCAGTAGGAGTGACAGACGGGTTCATGGTGCGCTTGGGATTRCATCAGGGGTCAGCTCTGAACCCCATTTTGTGTCCATTGGTAATGGACAGGTAGATGAGGTCCCACGGTCTATAAGAATATGAGCTGTAGTGAGCAGGAGGAGAGCCTGGTGAGGTGTGTGCGTATAATCAGATTTTAAAAAAAGGCATTGAGATCAAGATATCTTTTCCAAGAGTGACCTGCCCAAGAGATCAGCAGCACATGTCATGAAATGCTAATTTAAACTATTTACAATATGTAATATATTTACAAAAGTGTTATACTACTTAAGCGATTTGTGTTTAAAGTGCAAGGCAAAGCATATTAATGACTTTAACAATGACTAAAATGCCATGGTTAAGAAAATACACAGACAATAGTTAAAATACAGACAATGAATGAGCAGGTATTACATGAAAGGTGTGTATATA